GGACCAGTGTACACAGACCTGCTTCCTGGCACAGCCTGAGGGTCCCAAAAAGCCAACGAGGCCTCGATGGTTGTAGGGAAGTCAGTCCTGTGTCCAGATCCCTCTTCTGCCACACAGTGCTCCCCCAGTTCGGAGGACGTCGCCGGAGCCCAGAGTGGGCCCAGATCCTGGGCACTAGAGGACACCCTTCTACAAATTAGCCACTGGGCCTCTGGGCAGTGCCCACAAAGGAGAGGAGGCCCAGCCCTGGGGATCGATGGAGCAGCCCACCCAGGCAGGGCGGGGTGCTGACAGGCAGTCCTCTTACCCGGTGGGTGTCCCCTGGGCCAGCGGCCCTCCTCCAGCCTGCCTCGGCCGCTCCTGCCATCTGTCGACGCTCCCTGTGAGGAAGATCCAGGCCTTGCTCTGGTCTTCGGCAGCACCAGGGCAGGGCTCTGAGCCCAGATGCTTGAGGCCACACGGAAGCCACGTGTCGGAGCTGCAGTGGCCGCCGAGGCCAGGGGCTGCGGCCTCTGTTGACAAGTGAGTGGCTGAGTACCAAAGAGGGGACGTGACCTCCTCAGGTCCTACAGCTGCTTCTGGGACAAAAGTCTCGGGGCTCCTCACCTGAGAAACGTTAAGATGCCTGTGAGGACCTCCATTCTGGGGCTCCGGAGCCCCTCACCCTGGAGCCAGGATGCCACGCACATCCCTTCTGTGTATCCTTCCCTGATATTTGAGCCTTTGAATCTTTCTACCAAAGGACACTCTCCGATTCTGCTGGCTTTGCTTTCCAAAGCCTGTTGTTGGAGTTCAGATCCTGCTTTGGAGTAAAATTCTCTAACCTGGCAAAGTTCTCCACCCAGCCTCCCACCACCCCGTGGACCCCGCAGCCCAGTGACGCCCAGGCATGCGGGGATTGCTCAGGCTGCCAGCACCCAGCCTGCTAGGCTCAGAGTTAACTCGCTACTGCCCTGGGCGGTCACACTTCGCTGTTCAAAAGTGTTTTCACATGACAGGAAACTTGGGGCATTGGCCTCTGCAGGGCTGCATGATATTGGCAAGCGCCTTAGCCTCACTGGTTACTCAACTGAAAGAGGGATAATACCACTTGGCTCAGGAGAGTATGTACAAGGAGGGAGTGATGGCTGAGAAGGGCTTTGAAAGCAGAGCTATGCCTGAAGAAATGTGGCTAATGTGCCCAGAGACTCCCTCCTGGGTGCCCACCCCCACGCCACATCCTCTCATCCTGGGGGTGGGGAACGAACTGCCTGTGGCCAAAGGCCCTTGGCCACTTCCCTCTGGCCCAGCAGTGCCTGTGGCTGAATAGGTATGGGCAGGTCACTCATGGGTGTTGTGTTTTTTTTAAGATGTATTTATTTATGCACACAGGAACTGGGTTGCAGGCCAGAGGTGTAGGGGTGGGGAGGGAGTGGGGGGGGTGAGAGGATTCACTAGAGAGTGGGGAGCAGAACAGGCAGAGTGACTGAAATACACAGCTGAGGGGATCAGTGGGCAGACAAGAGAGCTCTGATGCACCATGTGGGTCAGCTCCGGGGTGGGGATTGAACTCCTGCTGCAGTGGTTGCCAACAGCTTCACAGTACTGTGTTTTAACCTGTAGTGCTACCAGGGAGGGCCCTGGAGGGCTCTGATGGATGGTTTGAGGGCTGGATGTTTTTCATCTCCTTCCCAGGGAGACACTGGAGTCCTCTCTTACCACCCAGGAGGGTCTGATTCAGTTGGTAGCCATCCAGCACATTCTCTGCAGCCACTTGAAATGCTGGTTGCTTGGGGACTGGAGGTGCAGGTCTTAGCTCCCCAGCCTAGAGTGTGACTCTCCTGTAGACCATGGGCTCCAAGCAGGGAGGACTTGTACAGGACTCACCAGAGACAGTGGGGAACAGAACAGGCAGACTGAGGAAGTACACTGCTGAGGGGAGCAGCGGGCGGGTCGGGAGAGGTCTGCTGCACATGTGGGTCACCTCCAGGGCCGGGAATCGAACTCATGCTGAAGGACTATGGCCAGCTTTGTGGCGCTGCACTTTAACCCGCCTTGCCACCAGGGGGCGGCTCAGCACATTCACCACTGCTGCCTTGGTGAAACCTCAGCGGCCCCAGGGTATCATCCCTCCCGTCTCCCTCTAGCTGGTCCTTGTGTCCTCCCCTGGCTCCCAGGTTGCTTCTGGCCAGGCTGTCTTCTGACTCCTGCTCTGTCAGCCAGACGGCGGTTCCCTGGCCTTGGACTCCCACCCCACCACCCTGAGCTCCACACTCATCTAGCTGGTCTCTGCACCTGGTGAGCACTCTGGGCTCTCCCTGACCTATTAGCAAGGTGCTGTCTAATAGACTCCTTGAGCTTGAACACATCATGCGCAAAACCCAACCCCCAGCTCCCCAGCAGAGTGTCCCGCAGCCTCCCTGTCGAGAGGAGAGGGCGGTGCCATTGTTCCAAACACTTGGGCCAGAATCCTCCATGCCTGTTTTTCTCATACCATCCGACCCGTCAGCTCCTCCTCCTGGTTCTACTTTGACGCTATCTCCGACCCGGCCCTTCTCACGACCCTCACTGCCACCACCCCTCCCCAGACCACTCAGGTGGCTGAGGCTCTCCCTCCTCCTCTCCCGTCTCCATTCTTGCCCACAGCCTGTTCTCCGTATTCTTCACCGAGACCTGTGTATGAAGTCAGGTGCCATCGATCTCTGCTCAAAACCCTCCTGTGTCACTGAGTCAGAGTCCAAGTGCTCACAGAGCCCCGTGAAGCCCACACAGCTGTTGTCCGGTCCACTCTAGAGCCACAATGGTCTCTTTGCTGCTCCCTGTCCGGGGCCTATATGACGGCGGGGACTTGTTTTCTTTGAGCCCATGTCCCCAGCCCCAGGCACTACGCTGGCGCTCCCTAAACACACACTGGTTGGTAGAATGGATGAGCACTTAGGATGCAGGTTCCCCAACTTGCTGCCCACAGCACCTCAGGCCCAGATGGGAGATGGGCCTGTGGCCAGAGGTGCCAAATGTCCAGAGATCCCGCCCACCCCAGAGGTGTGTGTCCTGCGTGCGGAGGCCTGAGGACGGGGACACTGAGGCCAGGCGTGCGGCGAGGTGCATGTGGCTGAGGGGGCAGGGAGCCAGGCCCTGCTGACCACTGCTCCCTGCCAGGGGGGATTAGTAGTAATTCCCACCCTCCGGCTTACAAAGTGCTGCCAGCCCAGTACTGCATCTGGGCCAGAAGTGGGCAGAGCCTGGGGTATGATCCCATTACACAGAGGACAGCCCCGAGGCCCCGGGGATAGTGGCCGGCCTGAGGTGGCACAGGCAGTGGCTGGGTAGGTCTCCAGTGAGACCGCTGGTGCAGGCGGGCATATTTCCACTCTGATCAAACCACTGTGTAAAAAAACATGAATCATTTATTCTTTGGTTATCTACACAGACACTTAAATACTGTATTGTTGTGGTGTGGCTGCCTGAGCCCCCAGCTAGGTCCCGAGGGAAGCAGGCGTCCTGCCGTGTCCACTCCACGAGCGGTAGCACCGTGCCGACCCACAGCTGTGAGCGGGTCCCCTCGGCTGGGCGCAGCCAGCCCCCCACTGCTCCGCGGCCCCCAGGGGCAGGAGTCCAGCAGGCACGACAGAGTTCCTCACGGTGGGCCTCGTGGCCCATCCAGGGGTGGGGTGGACACTGTCAGAGCTCGTCCTTGTGACCCAGCTCACTGCTGGAGAGAGGTGCCTCTGCAGGCTGGGGGGAGGCCTGCCGCGCGTCCTGGGGCAGGTCCACCTCTTCTGGGCTGAAGAGCATCTTGACCAGGTCGTCCGCCTGCACCCTGTCCTACAAGGACAAGCCCCTGCCTGTCAGACGGCCTGGAGCGGGCTCTACCCGGCTCCCAGAGCCTACGTGCCGCAGAACCAGAAGGCTCAGTGACCGCTGACCCCGTCTCCTCCCAGCGGGTCCCACCCTCTGGGAAGGAGCAGCAGAGGTGGCCCAGTGAGGAGCCACGGCCCGGTCACCCTCCGCCTGGCACTGGCCAGGGGACGAGCCCACGTGACCACGGTGACCAGGGCCGCGAGGAGTCGCTCTGGATCCGGGTCCAGTGTGCCTCTCCGTCTAAGGCAGGAGACGGCTCTTACCCGCTCACTGTGCCGCGCGTCCAGCGTGAACCACAGGGCGATGGCGCAGCGCTGCCCTCTGGTGACGGCCTTCACTCCGTGCGGGTTTTCGGTGCCGGAAGAGAATCCCACCGTCCTGCCACACTGGGGCTGCACCTCGGCCTACAGGGGCAAAGGGACACGCAGGGGATACTGGAGCCTGCTGCAGGGCAGACCTAGGGTCAGCAGGGGCCGCACTGGGCGGGGGGCGTCAGCCTGGCTTCCCGTAGACCAGAGCTGCAGAGAAAAGGTGACCAGTGGGAGGACCACTGGCACGCACCAGTCCCCTGGTCTGGGGCCACGGGGCTGCTGGCTACTAGTCCTCAGCTGGCCATTCTGCCCGCCACCCCGGAGGGCTTCTCGGCATGGAGACGGGGCACTCACGGTCACGGTCTTGGCGTCTAGTTCAGTGAAATAAAAGTTTCCTCCATCGAAGTCTCCGTTTAGGTAAAGGATGGCACTGAGAAAGGGAGAGCGGTCTCAGCACAGGTGTCCCCCCTCCCCTCCCCCAGCACCCCACGTGCTGGCGTCTGCATTTCCAGGTGCTAGCCCCCAGCAGGAAGGGGGCCTTTGTGAGGAAGAGGAAGGGAAAGAGGCTTCCTCTGAAGCCCACAAACATCACTCCAACCTTCCTGCCTTTGCACCCTCACCC